TCGGACAGTGTAAGATATGACAAAATAATAATTTATAAATTATCAAGGGATCATGAGGGAGGGGTAAGCAGGGATGGAGGGGGAAAAATGAGGATGCCAGGGATTTACATGGAGAGCAAACATTTTGAGAATGATAAAGGTAACGAATGTCCAAATGTGCTTTATACAATTGATGTATGTATGGATTGTGAAAAGAGTTGTATGAGCCCCCAATAAAATGATTTTTTTTTAAAAGAGAAAGAAAAAACCCAAAAAACAAAATATAGGTTGATGTATATAAATTAACAGATTAAATAACATTTTTTAAAAGAAAAAAATTAAGGTGTACAGATGATTCTGGTTTAGGAGATTTTTTTTAAATCTCCTCAGTGATGATCAGTATATTATGATGAACAATATACTGAAGTACTCAAGAAAAACATTGTTTAAGATACCTTTTAAACAACACCAACATCCTCTGAAGTCTTCTTAAAACCAAACAAATAGTTTAGCTCAGGTAGTAAAGAATATCTCTCTCGATTGAGTATAGTGTTCTTTTAAGATGTAAGATCAAGTGGATCAAAATTCAATAAGAAATTGGGGGGCAGTGGGTTTATATTAATGAGGAATAACAACTTGGAAAAGGTGGGTAAGAATGGTTGCACAACTTGGATGCAATCAATGTCACTGAACTATACATGTAGAAATTGTTGACTTTGTATATGTTCTTTTGTATACATTCTCAGTAACAATCATTATGAATTATATTTTTTAAAAAAGGAAAGCACTATTAGGAGTCAATATCAAACCAGTAAAAATGTATTATTTCGTGATTTGAAAATGATGGACATAAATATCCTAAATAAACACTGAATTCTACAGCTTAGTCACAGTCAAACTTGAGCTAGCAATGAGATATGGTCAAATCACTTAGATTCAAACAGTATACACCTGTTATTAAATGGAAATTTATACTCTGTGTATGCTTCTTTACAAAATTACAAAGTAATTCTTTCAGAAAGAGTGGTGTTGTTGGTAGTATTTCAGAATTATGCATGGTAGTGTGACCAGGCAGAGTTCCACTGTCCACTTACCTGCTGTTTTCAGTATTTATTCTGAAAGAACCTGATGTTGAAAGGCCTTATCACACCAAAATCATTTGCATAAATATCAATATCAATGACCATTTATAAGCAACAATAACCACAAAATCCTCTACACACAAACATCATGCTTGCCTAAATTTAACATTTCTAATTCAAATAAGAATAGTCAACATTTGACTTTGTTTTGAAGGAATATGTCTAATTAAGAAAATTAAATGTCACATGCAATGAAGAAGGAAAGGAATACCAAAAAAATGTTTTATAAGTATAATGACTTACATTTGGGGGGGGGGGAGCTAATCATAAAATAGCATAGTTTCCATTCAAAAAGTTGAAAATCTCCAAATAAAATCAATTATTTTTTAATTAACAATTCAAAGATTTACTTTAAAAAAGTAAGTCTTTATTTTAGAGCTATGTTAACAAGAGTGCTTTCTGAATTTATATGGAGATAAATAAATTTTATTTAAGATCCAGAATGATAAAAAGATCATCTTAAATTATCGCCATTTGTTGTGTTCAACTAGTTATTGATCTCACAATGCAAGGAACAAAAGTGGGGTCTGGAGTGCAGAGGGAAACTGTCATGCTTTCTTCTACCTTAGATTCTAAGGCTTAGACAATAAAAGTTCGAAAAAAATGTTATCTAAAAGTATATTAGAAATTGTTCTAACTCTAGGAGGCCATTTTAGGTTAAAAACTGTATTTTTGAAAGCATTTTCTTGGCACACAATTACTATTTACAATTAAGCTAAAAACTTGCTCTGGTATTTTATGACATCAGGAAAATTCTTTCCTCTCTAGGAAAGATGCCAAAAACAACTAGAGGCTAAATGCCTGGGTCTTATGCTTCTTAGAGAAATGATTCTATCTTGTTCCCTTTAAACTAATTGTGATAGAAGAAAGGAGGGGGGAAAAGCTACCTTTTGTTTTTGTGAATAAGATATACTACCTGGAATTTAAACTGCTGGTCTTAAGGTTTTAAATGCCTCTTTATTGCTTCTGGGAGAAAATTCATTAGAAAATAAAGCAGGTTGCATAAGAGTTTTAACATTCTTAATGATATGGACATTTAAGATTGCTTTTAAAAATATAATGTTAGCATCATATATCTAATGTAAAATATGTATAATATAAAATGCTAAGCCTCACCAAAAAGAAAAACAAGTGTATTTCATTCATAGCTATGTAATACTCATTCATGTGATTTAGGATAAAATCTTGTTTTTAATCCATTATTTGTCTATCCATTACTTTTGACATATACAAGAATCCAATTTAATCATAACTTGAAAGGCTGAGAAAGAAAGGAAGAAAAGGAGAGACAATGACGAAGAGACAGAATAAACAGACTACTTACCTTCTTCCCCAAACTGATCATATATTTCTCTCTTTTTAGGATCACTCAATACTTCATAAGCTTCTGCGACCTCTTTAAATTTTTCCTCTGCTTGAGGTGATTTGTTCTTGTCTGGGTGAAATCTGAGGGCTTGTTTTCGGTAAGCCTTCTTAATATCTTCTTCTGAAGCTCCTTTTTCAATTCCCAAAATGCCATAATAGTCTTTCCCCATTTCGAATGCCTTGAAATGAACTTAGATTTCCCTTTGTAAAAGAAAACAGTGTCCCCAGTTTCAACAATACAATGGTTCTAAGAAAAATAAACCAAACTGGATATTTTAAAAGTTAAAGTAAATCAGCAATTCATCTAGCTCTCTGCCGGTAGCAAGCAGACAGCGTTTCAGAATTCAATCCCTTCCCCAACAGCTCACTTACAGATAAATAGACACTGCCCAGGAGACTGCCTCCTGGGTCCTCCCACTTTCACGACGTGGCTCTGTACTTTCTAGAACAGCAAACGCTACAGGACGTCACTTCCCCACTGCCTCTAGTCAAAGCACCCGAGCTACGTTTCCTCCTCCTGCACAATTAACTACTCATTTTCCTTCTATCACTGTCATTTTCATTTCTGTTCAAAAAGGTCAAATGGATTAATAAACAAGTATTTCAGGACAAAAATGCTCTAACAACATATTTATTTACTCCACTATAGGTGAAAAAGCTACAAAAATGTATAGCTATTAAGCATCTTATGTTAAAATAAGTTATTAGAAATGTATCCTTGAACTTATTTTATTAATTTCAATGTCAAATAGTTCAGTACTAAAATTTGCTTTGTGTGCATTCAAGTTTTCAAATAATTGCTGTCATTTTAAAAAATTCTTGGGGGGAGGGTATCTATAAATCAGAAATGCCAGCAGAGTCAATATAACAATTTTACATTGTTAAAAGGATATGTATCATAAAAGTTCAAAGCAATACTTATTACAAGTAAAGAATCTGAATGGTATTTTGGTTAATGATGTATAGCATTTTGGGGTTACAAAAGTTAATAATTCGGACGAAGTAATATATATTGGTGAAAACTTAATATCTGAGTTTAGTTCCTTCAATTAAAACAGAATGGAATCCCCTTCTTCTAGGTTATTGTTTATGGAGATTTTGTGCAGCAATAATGCTAGGACAGTACAGTTAAGAGAGAATACATATTTTTTCCTTATAAGACCTTCAAAATATTATTTAAAACCTAAATGTTTTCTTTAAACTAAAACCTTTTAGCATCAGATGATTCAGAATCCTAGTGATCTAATAGCACCGAGTAGAACTGACCCATCGGGTTTCCAAGGCTGTAAATATTTACAGAAGCACACTGCCACTTCTTTCTTCTTTGGAATGGCGAGTGAATTCCAACCACTGACCTTTCAGTGAGCAGCTGTGCACTTAACCACTGCACAACCATGGTGTCTCTAAGAAGAGGTATTGTGAGAAATGTTTTTTCTTTTGAAAACACATTTCCTAATTTTCAATATAAACATATACTCAGTGTAGAAGATTAATGGCAAATGCAGAAGAGAAAATAAAAACCTTCCTCTCATACCATATTAGGTAATCTTTGCTAAATGTTAGCATATTTCTTTCTAGTCTTTTTTTCTACAAATATTTATAGTTCTGTGCTGTAGTTCTTTTCCTTTTTTGCTGTAACTGTTAACAGCTTAAAGTATTCTAACTCCTTTAACTCTTGATTAAAAAATAACATTTTTATTTTTATGAAAAACTTTTTCTATGTAGGTTAGATATCTTGCCTCTTGGCATGCTTTCCTTGTATTTTCAAAAATAATTTCATTTCTAAAGTAATTTTGGAAAGCTTAATTTATAAGAAAATGTTGAAAAAGTTATGCAGTGACTTCTAAATTATCATGAGCTCATAAGCTTAAAAACCTTTTGAGAGGAAATATAAATGTACATATATGTTTAGAATGAAAAGGTGATGGTCACATGTTACACTTTAAAGTTATAGAATATTTACTTCATACACTGAACACACACACACACACACACACACACATACATTAAAAACCAGCAATTCCTTATGAATGTTTATTCTTGTGCATTTTGACATCTGTGATTTCAAAATTCTAAAAAAACTGTACTTTAATAACTCCTGGGTATTAAGAATTCCTAACATCTATCTAGCCTATTTACAAGTTATAGACACTTGTCACCTATTCAATAATTTGTTTAGTCCTATATCAAGGAATATTCAATGTCAAAAATAAAAACAACAAAAACTTTCAAATCCAAAAAAAGGTGACAAAAACGCTAATGGCTGAAGTCACTTTAAGAATCCTAATTCTCAAAAAGCATACTGCCAAGTTGGAATCCTGTGCAAGTATCATCATCTAGAGTAGAGGAAAAATACAATAAAAATCACCTATTCTAGAATTAATTTCCAAGACAATTTTCTTAAATATCCATCACCCCAGAATCTGACATTACTATAAAAACTTCAAAGTGTTCTGGTGGGATATGGTGGGAGGGGAAAGAATCTTCTCTGACTCAGTCATTTTCAGAGAATAGTAAGTTATCATCAGGACTAAAATCACAGATTAAGAAAAAATAATACAAGATAGAACTCAATGGCTAAGTCTTTCAAATTTGTGAGAAATATTAACTGATAGAATGTGACCCTCCAAACATAGAGTGGGTAATGAGGATTTTCATATTTCTTCAGCTATCATTGATGAAATAGAATCATATTGGTAAAGCTGAAAAGCAGGAATTTATCTCAACTTGGAAATTTGAAATTAATAATAAAGCAAATATAACTTTGATTCAACTATTAAGTAATTTCAGTCTTGAAATGAAAGAAAATCACATTCTTATGGGATCCAGATTTTTATGGGGCTACAGAGGCTAGATGAATCTCAAAACTATTGCCCTGAGATAATATTTAAACCTTAAACCAAAAATATTCCTGACATCTTCTTAAAATCATACAATAGTTTTAGCTTAATAAATAACCTTTGCCTTAAGCATTATGCTCTTTTAAGACCTATCTATGGGATCAACTTGACAACAGCAACTCAAAGGGTAAGATGGGCTGTTAGGAAGGAATGAACTGAATGGAGGCAAAACCCAGAAAGGGCGGATGAGAATGGTCTCACAGCTCAGTGGACATAATTAATGTCACTGAATTGTACATGTAGAAGCGGTTGAATTAGTGTATTTGTTGTGTATATTCTCAACAATAAAAAATAATGAAATAAACTATTTTTTAAAATTCTGGCTCGGTTTTGGTAAAAAGAGCAGTTACTTGCACATTTGTAATTTTATAAAGCTTCGTAAATAATTCTTTAAAATATTTGGCAATAGTTATTAAAACCCACTAAAAATAAATTTTAAAACCTTGTAAATACTCCTTCAGAAATTTATCCTTACAAAATAAACAAAAGAAAAAATTACTATATAGTTGGTCTGCAACTTAAGACGTTATTTTCCAACAACTCCATTTTAAGCTGGTTCTAACAAGTTGAACACAGGTTTTTTTTTTTCATTACTATTGCCTTTTATTATCAGTACCTCTAGAAATCCAACTTTTATTTGTCTTTTGGGTTGGGAACCTTATATATAAACTTACACATACGATCATTTTATGTAGTATAGATGAAGGGGCTTCAAAAAAATCTGTGGAACATTCTACTAGTTCTTTAATGTTTCCTCTCCCCTCAATATCATGACCCCAGTTCTACCATACAAATCCGGCTAGACCGGAGCATGTACACTGGTACAGGTAAGAGTTCTGGACACATGGAATCCAGGACAGATAAGCCACTCAGGAACATTAATAGGAGTAGCAATACCAGATGGTAGGGAGAAAGTGGGGGGAAAGGGGGAGAAAGGGGGAACTGATCACAAAGATTGACTTATAAGCTCCACTCCAGGCTGATGAACAACAGAAACATAGGTGAGAGGAAACAGCGGACAGTGTAAGATATGAAAATAATTATAATATTTATCAAGGGTTCACAAGGGTAGGAGAGTAGGGGAGGGAGGGAAAAAGAAGAGCTGATACCAAGGACTCAAGCAAGAAAGAAAATGCTTTGAAAATTATGGCAATGAATGCACAAATGTGATTGATACAATTGATATATGGATTGTTATAAAAGCTGAAAGAGAAAATGATTTTTACAAAAAAATCTGTGGAAAAATGGAATTAAGAGATAATAAAACTTTCCCACAAACCTTTTGGTGTCCCCCTTGCATTACTATTACATCTACTTTTTCCAGACTGAGATATCTCTTCTATTACTTACTGGTTAATCTTATTACCCAATTATTTTCCATTTGAACTTTTTTCTGTGTCATGTGCTTTCCTTAATGGAAAGTATGCTGAATCAACAAGCATTTCTGAAATGTTATAAAGTATGAAGTTTGATACATGCTATGTGAGATACATATATTCCTCTGGATTCAGGGGTAGGATTATGTGGGATGCTTTTACTCTGGGAGTAAAATTATGTGGACACATATGTCCTGGACTCAGAGGGGTAGGATTAATGATAAGCATATGTCCTTCTGGACTCTGTACTGCCTCCTAGATCCTTTGACAGGTGCATACAATTTAGAGCACCTGACAATAGGGCATTTGTGCAAGCATGGTATCATCATGAGAAAGACAACTTCCAAATAATGCACAGGAATCCTAAAATATACTTATAAGGTTTATCCCTCAGTTAAAAAAAATTAACAAAATCACTCCTACAAGATGCATCACCTGATGCAATACTGTTAAATAGAAATCTGCAGCACACATTAATTTCTTCCATTTTTAAAGTTATTCAGATCCACTCCTGATGGCTACATGCACTATTCATGGGAAAACAGCTGCCCAATAAGCACCAAGGAGTGCTTTTCCCATGGGTCATGAAGGGGTTAAAAATTTATTACCCAATCTATTAAACACTACTGCAATAACTCAAAAGAGACCGACATTAATGGGAAAACACGATGCTCATGGGTAGACTGTTAAAATGTCAGTATTACTCCAACAATTCTTAGATGTAATACAACCCCTATCCAAAATCCAGTGGTATTCTTTAACAAAATGGAAAAACTAATTTCCAACTTTATATGGAAAGAAAAGCAGTCCCAGATAGTTATGGATGGCATTATTGAACGAGAACAACAAAGTAGGTGGCTGTGGCAGTTACATGTCAATTTACACTTCTATAGGGGTGGATGGAGTCCAACCTGTCAATCAGGTC